CAATTCATCAAATAAGTTTATCAATTTATCAATTTTACACTCTAAAATGTTTTGTGGCAGAACTGCGCAGTTACCCCAGAAAAGGGCTCTTTGCTCTTTTTAAGACGATATGCACTCAAAATATTGCAAATATAGTAAAGCACCCGCTTTTTTTTTTTGGAGTAAGTGCAGGAATGTTCGCGCCTTGTGCAAACGACCCATCGGTTCCTACACAAGTCTGTTTCTTTTCAGATGTTGTCGTAGTGTTGTGTGGTGTAGTAGGTCACTGTACGCGCATGCTGACTTAGTGGTCATGCGTTCAAGTCCCGGGCATTTGCTGCAAAGTTTTCAATATTTAATTCTGATTATTATGCTTGCTTATCAATTAAACAACTAATGAAATGCCAGCACGCAATTCAAAAGGCTGGTTAAGCCAAAGGAAACCTCAATTTTCTTATGCTACTTGTTGCTCCTTTAAGGAGTAACTCCGAAGAGCATGGTTACTCTTTCGCAATTACTCCCTAAATGGTGCAATCGGTGTGGCAAGTTAGCTACTCCTCTAAAGGAGCAACCTCGGTACCTTTTTTGCTCCTTTACTTCTTAAAGAGTAGGCTGCTATCCCTACTCCCCGTGCTTTCGAAGGGCTCAGAAAAGACCATTTATGCCAAAATAATTGGGTTTATGAAAAAGTACATTTTAATCAGCCCTACCTAATTTCGATTCAGAAAAAAAGATCAACAAAACTTTCCCTCGTAATACGACAAAATCAATCTAAAACCTTTCGACTATGAAGTTTTATAGCTGGTATATACATTACTTTTTCCAACGCATACAACCATATAAACTACTTGACACTGACATAATATTTGAAAAATATGGAATTAGGGGTACACCACATCTGCAGCGTATAAGGTGATGTGTTTGTATCCAAGGCAACATATCTCGGCACAAAGTAATTACTTCAATTGCACCTCAAGGAAGCATTCTCCGACCAGTGCTCCGAGAAGTTTTTTTACAGCGAAAGCAGTTATGAGATCACAACTCAGGTCACGCACAGTTGTCCACTGCCACCGCCGCTGGTGTCTGTAACCACATCACGCGAAATTAGGAAAAAATCTGACAGATCCCACGTACAGTGGGAATAATTAATATGTGAAGCACGAACTGATAAATGTTGATATGTCACTCTAAAATCAGCACAACGTTACGAGAAGTAGGTAAATGATGCTGTACATGAGTTCCATGTCATGATTATCTGGTTTGGATGTATCGTTTACTTTCGCCATCTGTTCGCGTCTCGTGATACCAAATTTAGTATATGTGGAGCTAGCGGACCGGCCGCGAGCACGCTATGAGCGGGGTATGTTGTCATGTTCTTACATGACATGCGTGTCAGGATTATCATGTTTGCAACCGTCTTATACTTCGTCATTCATTGACGCCACGTAACACCAAATTTATATATGTGGAGCTAGCAAAAGAGCCGCGAGCTCATCATGAAGGCCCATTATACTGCAATGTAGCGTTGACGCGCGTGCACGCTGGGCACAGCAACGCTACGTTAGCAAAACGCGAGCATTCTAAGGTCTGACGCTAGGCGCGACCAGCGTCTGTCGGTGCGGCCCCACGGCCCCCGACGCGAAACGCGACATGCTGCAATTCGTGCCGAGGCGCTACCCAGACAACACTGCGTCTCCCTCTTCTCGTTATGGAGGGACGCCGGACGCACTGAAACGCGCATGCGTCAAACAACGCAGCGTGGCGCGTTTGCGAGTATATGGCAGGACCAGCGCCTAGCGTGGCAACGGTGGCGGGACTGCGACAAATTGAACGCCGGTGAGCACGCGCACCACGTCAAGTCGAAATGCATTGGCGTCTTGACATTGGCATGTAGTCATGTTCTCGCATGACATGCATCTCATGTTTATCATGTTTGCACCAGTATCATACCTTCGTCATCCATGCACATCCCGTAATACTTAATGGTGTATAAGTAAAGCTGGTGAAACGGCCGCCAGCGCATCATGAGCGTGGCATGTAGTCATGTTGTTACATGAGATGCATCACATGATTATCATGTTTGCACCAGTCACATACATTCGTCATACAATCACGTAGTGCAGTACCAAATTTGGTACATGTGGCCGCGAGCGAAACGGCCGCGAGCGCATCATGAATGTACCATGTTGTCATGTTGCATTACACGCATGTCACGATTTTCATGTTACGGTCTACCGCTTGTGTTCGCCATACAATTATGCCATACCATACCACTTTTGCAACATGACATGTGAACGAAACCACCACAAGACTGCTGGGCCATAAAATGTAAATCATGTTTTTCATTACACACATGTCATGATTTCCATGTTACGGCTATTCAGTTATGTTCGTCATACACTCATGTATATCATAGCAAGTTTGGTATCGATACCATTATCGAAACGGCCAAGAGAGCTTGAAGTCGTAGGCGGCTAGATAGATAGATAGATAGATAGATAGATAGATAGATAGATAGATAGATAGATAGATAGATAGATAGATAGATAGATAGATAGATAGATAGATAGATAGATAGATAGATAGATAGATAGATAGATAGATAGATAGATAGATAGATAGATAGATAGATAGATAGATAGATACGCTCAAAGTCGCCGAAGTTCACTAAGAAATGCTTCGCATTTAAAAAAACCTAGCACAAAAGACACACACGTGCTCGACACCCGGGTCTGCCAGGTGCCAGCCCAGTATTCTACCACTGAGCTGCGCCGGTGCTTGAAACGTGTTGGCAAACCTAGCACGAAAGACACAGTGGGCCTCGAACCCAGGTCAGCTGTATTCCAGCCCAGTATTCTACAACTGAACTACGCTGGTGCTGGTGGCTTGGCAAACTTGCCTGAAACAGGCTTGATGTCGGAAAAGCAATCACATTAGTACGACTTATAAAGCTAAAACAGCGAACGAACAACCATTCGTCGCACAACGCGGAATAGCGTAACGATTGGGTCGTCCTAATCTCCAACCTATTAAAAAAGTTTGTTCTTTTTCCCCTAATAACTGTGGCGCATACCCCCTTCAGCCATATTTCCTCATTGTCGTCAGCCACTGCATGAACAATTGGCACAAAATTCCTTGCAAGTGTTTAGCGGATACAACATTTCTCCGAAGAATAAAGAAAAACAGCATAGCGAATGCCGACCTACTAACGAAAAAACGATTATTCAAGTGTGCTTGCAGTTGACAGATTATTTGTCACGGGTCCGGTTTATTAGGGATGGGATCGCCGCACTAGTTCGAAGGGCCGAAGTATCGGCTCCTCAAACCGCACCATGAAAGTGTGGACAATTTAGAAGTGGTCCTATTTCGGCGCGCCCGCGGACGCCGGCTGTGGTCCAAAGAACAAGTCAGAGCCGAGAGTTGATAAACAGAACAAAATTATATTCTCTATTACGGCAGATCAAAACGATACACAAATATGCACACTCGACAATAGATGAATACAATATGTCATCAATCAAACAACGTACTACACAGTACAATCAGCCACACTCGAAACAACGGACACAAACAACAATACGCTACTACAATGCAGTCGCATGCATCGAATCACCAAGACACCTAAAGACTGGAGAGTTCGAAAACTTATTCAGTCCAAAGTCCTTGGAACAAAAGTTTGAATGATACTCTTCCGAGAATCACTCACTCAGAGTCCAGCGTTGTTGTCGTTCTGCTGCCCCCGAAGTTTCTCATCCAGGAAACCTCGCGTCTTCAATTGGCCGCTCTCCAAGCTCCAAACTTCTTCGCCGGTAACACATCGGCTTCCCACGCGCCGCTGTTGCCACGGGTCTTCGCTCGCTGGCGGTAGACACACACTCTTGCCTGTAGCTCGAGTCTTCACCCCGCAGTTGGAAATGCTCCTTTTCTCCTCCTTTGTTACTGAGGACAAAAGGCTTCGCCGATACCCAATGAGTGTCTTAAAAGGCTCCGAAATGCCGTTCTTCTAGCTTTGCTGTGACTGTGTTGCACTTTCCACACATGCCTAGCGTGTTTGTTTTCTAATTTCGCGTGATGTGGTTAAGGACACCGGCGGCGGTGGTGGCGGCGGAAGCGGACAACTGTGCGTGACCCGAGTTGTGATCTCATAACAGCTTTCGCTGTGAAATTCGCATAGTTTCTCAGGCAGGCAGCAGCCATTTAGCAAGTGGACAGCCAAAGTTATTTTGTAGAGTTGTCCAAAAGGAAACCTCTTATTTATTCCACATATGCCCACATGGGCGAACTGATAAAGAATCAAATCGCCAATATTTCATTGCCGAGAGCTGAACATGTTACTTTGTACTCATTGCGCCAGAAAAATTTCTTGTATGTTGCACTCTATATTCCGTTATTGCCATACTTAGGCGTGAAGGTATCTGAATTCTATAGATTGATTGCAATCTTCGTCAGATAAAAACTCTTGTGGTTTTCTTCTATTTAGAATACATCCATAGGGAGTACTCACGATGGACATATTGAGCACTTCTTACGGGATGGTCATTTCACTGCACCCAACCACCTTCTTTTTTGATAACACTGACCATCTGTTTTGTGGTATTTCAAATGTGCTACAATTCTCCTGAAATAGAGTGGTGGCCCCAATATTTGTCTCATTTTTCAAAAGAATTTTTTCCCGATTCACGATGGTTGAATCTAAGAAGCGAAATGACCCACGAATTCAGAAAGCACGCCTACTGATGTTTAAACCATACTGTAACGTTCTAGACAACCATGATGTATGAATGTTTATTAAAATAGTAATCATTTGCACATTCCACAATGTTCTCATGAACGCTGCAGGCCGTTGTATTCGTAAGTTGGGCAAGAAATACATGAAGTTTTTTATACTTTAAAATTATCCACATTTAATTTAGTACTTCTGTTATTTTCACTCAGACTAAGTCCTGTAATGTTGTAGTTTAGGTGACAAATTTCCACATAACAGCAGCCAAGTCATGAAGTATTAATTACATTTTTCGCAGACCCGACTGTTAGAGAGGGACGCTACTATTACACAGACTACAAGACGTGCGTCGTACTGGACATGGAATATCACGGACATCGTAAGTAGTTCAATTATATTTGCAAACTTGTGGAGAGAATAGGAAATGTGCCCACTGTTTCGCGTACAGTCACCTTCTTTGTTGCTCTATAGTGATGGTACCGACTAACGTTAAAGTCAGCACCCCCACGATGTTGAACGGGTAATTTTTTTAAGTTTCAATCCTTGTCATGTTCTCAAAACTGTGCACAGTTAATTTTTTGAGTGTGATGATGTGTTTCACGATAAATAAGAATGGTGAAAAAAAACACGCGACACAAAATTATGAGAACACACGACGGGCGCCCGTCCTTGTGTTATCATCATTTTGTGTCCTGTTCTTTTTTTTTGCTGTTCTTGACCATGAAACGACACGAACTCAACCAACTGTCAGTGCTACTGAACGGGCTTAAATATGTCTTATCCTTCTAGTTTCAAAGCAGGTGTAGGAGCTTGATCACCAACGGAACCATTTCACATAGTAGAAAATGTGACATTTTGGTACCACTAACGTGCCACGGACATGACCGCTGGATAAAAAGTTGGCCCCGCATCTGCATTTTAATCTGCATTTGCCATCGAAAAACAATAGTCTTGCGTGCGAAGAGAATGAACAAAACACTTATTTGATCTTCCACACAAAAAACATCTGTGAATGGTGTTCTGAAGACGCTGCGTTAGAGTGCCTCGAGCGTGCAGCGGAGGCGAACGAGCGCACCAAGTCGCGTCACACGTGAGACATGAGCGCCATTTGGCAGTTTTCTTGTAAAACAAAACGCGTAGCTCTTAGACGGGTGTACGCATCTGTCTCAAAGGTGATAAGGCGTAGAATGCAAGGTGACGGGTAAGTGCGACCTCCGTCTCGTCTTAGCGAAGCGTTGGAAACGCTCACCTTTTCGTGCAAACGCTGCATGGTCAGCGCAGCGTGATAAGCGCTATGGTCTTTAAAATTACTTATGTATGCCTTTTTCCGTAAAATACGCACATGCACAATATATACGTGTTGTTATGGTGTCCCATACATGCGCAATATTTTATTTTTATTTGAGAATCGCACAAGTGTGGATGCTAAATCTGTAGCAACATTGGTGGGCGCTACGGATGGGGTCAGTCGTTTCAAGTACCGTTAGGAGTGAACAGACAGACAGACAGACAGACACACAGCACAAGCTTTTTGCATCGAAGGGCTACAAGAAAGACTATTGTCTTTAAAAAAAGGTGCGGCCTGCTGCGTCCGTCGAAGTGGCGGGATGGTCCTACTTCAACTCGCGCACGCTCTGGTGCCAAGACTTCTCCCAGGAGAAACGCTTTCACATGCGTTTTTACGCATGGCAGTAGGCCGTAAGCAACGCGTTTAGTAGCTCTGCATCGCAGTTTTTATTCTGAATCGTTATTAAGAGCACCTATTACGCCACATATGTGAGCAGTTTGTGCTAGGAGGAACAATATGTCGTACAGTAAAGGCCTAAATGAATGCGGCCCGTTAGGTTTAACTGCACTCTATATAAGTACTCAATTGCCAAAACATTGAGCAGTCGCTTTACTTCTTCCAAGTCAAATCAGTGAATTTTGCAAGCACTAAGGAATGTGGCCGAAGGGCCCGGAAGCCCTTTATTTTGAAAGTAGCTTTTCCTGTGTGTCTGTTCTGAGCGCAATAAGACAACTACGGCTAGTTGAGTAGGTTCTTAAATATGAATCATTCGCCAAATCAATTGCGCGTCAATTGTGTGATTTATTGCGTCACGAGCTAGATTTATTGGCCGTTGTTTTTTTTTGGCTGAGTGTTGTTATTTTGGAGGTAGTGTGGATAACCGCGAAACACAGTGGGAACGCCGTTGGTTGCAAAAGCCTAATCTACATTTTACTGAAAGTGACTATAAAAAAGACTTTAAAGAGCACACGACCTAACATGTACTCGACTTCCACTTGCTTCTTCTCTCTGAAGACCCCTACCAAGAAATATTCTTCAGCCAATCACCCCGACGCTGTAGATCGCATGGGAGTTCACGGTACTGCAAGGTAACGTTTCTTCCCACGTTCGACTTGTACAAGGGCACACAACAGCTTCGCGGCATCACACCGCTATATAATACCTGCTACAAACGCGCACACAAGAAAAATTGCACTGCCGGACAGAAAACCAGAAAACTTGTGTCTAGCTGCCCTCTTACACGGTCACGCAAAGCAGTGGCCGTGCAAAAACAATCCACGCGACAAAGCACACGAACGCTCATAAATCCTGCGGCGACCCTACTGCAGCACGAACCCACGTCTACTTTGCGTACCGGAGCACGGCCCTCGTCGAGAATCACTCTTCAGCCAGGCTTCCTAACGCTGTATATTTCAGGAAAATTCTTGGCACTGCTAGCTAAAGCGTCTCTTATCGCGTTCTACTTGCACATCGACACAACAGAATCGTTGCATCGCACAGACAGACACAGAACTTTGTTAAGGTCCTGAGGAACACTTCCTCAAGGAGGTAGAGCAGCGGGCTGCTCCCACGACGGAACGGGTAGGCCGAGCCTCACCGCCGTGTCGTGGGCCCTCTGGACAGCCCAGATTTGATGTGCAAGATCGAGCTCTTAGTGCAGAGCTCCATCCTTCTTCGGTCATGTGCCGATAATCGCGTGATGAGGGGCACTGCCAGAGCATGTGTTCTAACGTAGATAGCGCGCCACAATCTGGGACCAAAACTGAAAAAATTCGCAGATACAATGTACAGTGGGAATCCACGATATGCGACGCAGGAATGAGGATGGTTGATACGTCACTTCAAAATGAGCACAACGTCACGAGGCGGTGGTAAGTTAGGTCATACAAGACTTTCTTGTCATGATTATCCTGTTTGAACGTGTTATTTACCTTCGTCATCTATTCACGTCACCTGATACTAAATTTAGCATGTGTGAAAGCTAGTAAAACGGACACAAGCGCATCATGAATGACCCAATACACCCCGATGTAACGTTGACGCGCGTGCACGCTGGGCGCAGCAGCGCTGCGTTTGCAACACGAGCACTCTTTAGTCTAACGCCAGGCGCGACCGGTGCGACCAGCGTTCTTCGGCGCGGTCAGGTGGCAGCCTGGCGCGAAATGCAACATAGTGCATTTCGCTCCCATGACGCTACCGCAGACAGCACTGCGTCAGCCTCTCTTTATTCTTTATGACGGAGGGATGCGTTCACAGCGCGCATGCGTCTAAGCAACACAGTGCGACGCGCGCCTGCGAGTATAGGGCAGGCAAATCGGCTACCTGGGGTCGCATCGCCGTCATGACGCGACAAAACGAAGGCCGGCGCGCACGCTCCCCAGGTCCCGTCGAATTGTATCAGTACATTCAGTGAGGCATGCAGTCATGTTCTTACATGACACTGCATCTCATGATTACCATGTTTGCACTCTTCACAGACCTTCGTCATCCATTCTACGTCCCGTAATACCGAAATCGGTATATGTGACGCTAGCGAAACGACCGCAAGCGCGCCATCAGCGTGGCATGTAGTCATGAGTCATTACTTACATGACATGCATGTTCATGATCGTTACGTTAGAGTCTGTCAAGTGCGTTCGCCATGTAGTCATGTCATACCATACCAGTTTTGCAAGATGTCATGTAAACGAAACCACCGCAAGAGCTGCAACACCATGAAATGTAAATTATGACTTTCATGACATAAATGTCATGATTTTCATGTTAGGACAAGTTCCTTACATTCGTTGTACAGTCACGTTATGACATACCAAGTTTGGTACCGATAGCATTATTGAAATGGGTAGGAGAGCTAAAAGTCCTAATGAGCTAGATAGATAGATAGATAGATAGATAGATAGATAGATAGATAGATAGATAGATAGATAGATAGATAGATAGATAGATAGATAGATAGATAGATAGATAGATAGACAGATAGATAGATAGATAGATAGATAGATAGATAGATAGATAGATAGATAGATAGATAGATAGATAGATAGATAGATAGATAGATAGATAGATAGATAGATAGATAGATAGATAGATAGATAGATAGATAGATAGATATGCTCAGAGTCGCCGTAGTTCGCTAAGAATTGCTTGGCATTTAAAAACATCTGCCCTGGTGCAAATAAGAAAAACTGTCTTTAAGCTAAGGAAACATGAAGCCAACTGCCCCCCACACATGATCGCATACAAAAAAAAGCATGGAAAGCACCTGAAAAAGCAAACGACACTCACAAATGCTCAAGCATTCACAATAAAACACAAGATGCTGTCCGTTTGACGAGTGGAGCGTCAAGGCCCTCCCAAATTAAAGCAACCAGAACATTCAACTCTGCCTAGACGTGCTCGCCCACTGACGGCGACGCGATGTAGCAGGACAGACAGACAGACAGACAGACAGACAGACAGACAAACAAAGAACTTTATAGGATCCTAAGAAACACTGCTCCTTTAGAGCAACGTCGCCGGGCCACTCCCACGAAGGAACGGGGAGGCCTACCCTCACCACCGCGTCGTGGGCTCTCTGGACAAGCCCGTAGTTGTGGTAGCAACTATGAACTTCGTAAGGCTGAGTTCCAATCTTCTTTTGTGAGCTGACTTGGGCCCCGTAACGATGGGCGCTGCCAGAGCATATGTGCTAAGTCACTAACCTCACCACAATCAGTACAGGTAGAGTCAAAAGCCTCTGTGGAGATTATGTTGAGGAAAAATAGGCTTAGATAGGACCTGGTCTGGAGCATTCTAAGCATGATGGCTTGAGTTCTAGACAACTTGTTGCAGTGGTGGAGCAAATGACCGCCTACTCAGCTGGTAGTGTTTAGCCACTTCACTGAATGTAAGTAAAGCGTCCCTGAACAACTCACTGCCAACTTGCGGACCTACGTCCTCCCCAGCGCGGAGGGTTAGTGCGCGCGCCCGGAAGTGAGCAGTGTCATTCAGGTTTACTTGAGAGTCCAGTAGGAGTTCGAGATGTGCAGGAAACCAGGTAATGGTATGTGAATAATGTGTCCCGTTTTCAAGTAGTTTAAATACTTCAGTAC